AAAGAGTTGTTGTACATATTTCCGACGCCGAGATCTTTGTGGAGACACACGAATCTCGGGGACGAAGTTCTGACACTTAGCGAAATTTTGGGCGAGGACAGAAGAGTCTGTCTTTCTGTGCCATATTACCCTGGCTACTCGCTCTACGGGTATTGATGTGGATTTCAGGTAGACTCCTAAGTCTCTATTATGATTCACCTTTAAGAAAGACCTGTAGACAATCTATCAAGTAGAACTAATTTATCCACTATTATAATCGACTACCGGCGGGCGTTTTTCGACCTTGGGTGTTGTCCTCTACACGAATGACCCCTTCTTGAATACATGTAACTAGCAATGTGCCATCCTTGGACCAGATCTTCTGGGTGGCGACTCCTCGACCGTCTCCAGCCCAGTGACTTGTAAGCTCTGAAAGCATCCACTCATCGGCCTTGATGGCCTTTGGAGCGTGAAACAGCATAGTATGACTGAGGGTCACCATCATACTGATGCGTGGTCTCCCATTATTTGCGGTCCTCCCATCATCCGGTAGAGGAATCCTTGTGTGAATTGGTGACAGCGCTGACAAGTCCGACTCTCCATCATCGAACTCTGTGAGTGGTGGCTTGACAAAGTTCCAGATGTTGTGTACGTGTGGAACTGTTCCGACAAAGTAGCTATCGCAAATGTATGACAGTGCAGATATATGCGCATGAATCCCACCTGCAGGAGATATCTTGCTAGTTGTCCTCGTCCATTGATGGATGCGTTTATCATGTGGATGACTCGAGTTCAGATTCGTCATGCCGACTTTTTTGTTGACATACGGAACACTAGTTTCGTCCAATCTAGTGCTCTGAGGAGGCAGAGAAATGTCTCGGGGCATTGGTTCTTGATGTACAAGGGATTTGCTGCTCGGAGTGGGTATATCGCGGGCAAAGCTGATGATTGCAATGAAGATAATTCTGTCTTTCTGACATGTACGGACTGTCCGTGTTGCAAAGCTTCTTCCATCACTACAGCGACTCACTCGGTATTCCAACATGTCGTCTGCGTTGCCCGCCAGGAGAAACTTGCCATGCATTGAGTGTACAGCAAAGTCAGTCGAGACGGTGGCCTGCGCAGCATTGATGCTCTGAGCGATGCCTATTCCACCATAGATCCCTTGAGCATCCGGTGGGTGCCAAAGTGGTGAAGCATTTCTGAACGTGTCAATAGCGGGAGGCAAGACGGGAACGACTTTCAGGATTTCCTCCATCGAGGAATTATCAGGATAGGCTGATTATAAGGCCAAAAGAACTTTTCATCCACAGAAAACCTCATAGTCCAAATGTTTTCGATTCACATGATTGAGAAGGACGAACAGGTCCAGCTGTGTCGAGAGTCTGCGCCTTGATACTGAACATTATCCGCAATACGTCCTTGACTCCGGAATTAACAAGCTATGCGTAGGTAGATTTCCGGCCGTCAATGTTCTTCGGTGCCTTGGACTGTCAGACGTTGCTGGGGAAAGTGTGATCCAGGTGTGGGCCATCACTAGTCGGCAATGAAGTATCGGGAAACTCAAAAGGACATAAGTTTCGAGGCTCACGATGACAACGCGTCGCTGCGAGCCTTGCCCAGGACTCAAAGAGAACGATTGGTGTGAGTTTCAACTTTCCGGCGCAAAGGTCGGCTCGTTAATTTGATGCCCGGCAACTCTAGTCCGACTTCATGTTACACATGGCAAACAAACCTGCTTACCTGATTTTGCGGGGTTGGCTCATGGAGGGGTTGACCAAGCTTCTCGGCGCATTGTTGTCGTTTCGAGACCCATCGAGATATCTCCATTGTGAGGTATTCAGCATTGCTGTATCGGAATGTCTGTCAAGTCAACTCGCCGTTTGTCAATGCCAGACTCAACTCACAGATATTCAAGCAGAGAACACGGCGGATGAACCTACTTGAACCTATAAAACTTATAATACGACAATCATGGCATTAGACTACCGTAGCTAATCTCCTGTACATTGACCATTTTTCTACGGACATGGCGTTTCAATTCTATGATTAGCGCCAAGCAGGGGCTATAGTATTGGAGAAGGGGAATAGTTCTACACCACCGGTGTAAATGGACGTACGCACGAAGTCTGGTACGTATCCGGTTCATGTGCTTTGACGCTTGATATCTATGCCTGTGGCGGAATTAACCCATTTCCGTACTAAATGAAGGCCTATAGCCACAAAAGAAGCTAGCGGACAGATTAAAAGTATACATTGACGTGATTTGGTTATCCCTCTGAGGATTGAAAGGGACAACGAACAATTTGCACGTGTCTGGCCAACATGGCTCCCATATACTCCTCACAAAACGTGCCTTTGCGGACTGATCGCTCCATTACCCAGTTTATGTTGGAGAATGTCTGCCACACTGATCCTGAAAAGGTGATCTGCGAGGATACTCTCACCAACAAGCAGACCACATATGGTGGTTTGCGAGAGGAGGCTTTTAGAGTAGCCCAGGCATTACGCTCAAGTCATGGACTCTGCGAGAACGATACTGTCTCAATTGTTTCACGAAGCTGCGTGAGTTTACCTTGCTGAACCTTTCCCAATATGTCGAACTCGTTGAATGCAACCTCGGGGGGAAGACTGAATTTTCGCTGGACAGGTTGACTATATCCTTGCTGCTCATGGAGTATGGGCGGCCGGTGCTATTGTCAGGTTCGTCGGGTGTCCCTGACCCGTTTCTAGCTACTGATATGATGTGGCAGTACAATCAACCATTCCAATACTGCAGAGGAACTTGCATACGCGATCAAAATCATTAAGCCGAAGATCGTCATCGCGGATGCTTCGATCTTGAAGAAGATGAGCGAAGCAGTCCGTTTGGCTGGGAATGTGACAGACATCACACTCGTGACTTTACTCGATAGAGTTCCAGGACACCCCTACGTATGTTGAGCCTCGACATCTGTGCACAATAGCGGTCCGGCTGCCAAATCATGCTGATGGAGACCAGTTTCCTGATGACTTCCTGAAAGATAACAAGCGAATATCTCCTGAAGTGTATGTCTTGGACGGTAAAGACGCGCGGCAGAAATGTGGTGCGGTTGTGCTCTCAAGTGGTACGACAGGTTCACCCAAGGCTGTTATGCTCTCACATCACAATCTTATTGCTATTTGCGAGATGCTACGTTACCATAATGAGGACAATTGGAGAGGAAGTATGAGAGAGATATTCTTTCCTGTAAGCGTGGACATTTCTTTCATACATCTGAGCAATCTTGACTAACGGTTCATTCATAGCCACGTATGTTGCATGACATGGAGGAAGTCCCCGGTCAGGGTATCACGCTAACCAAAGGCCAGTCTCACACATCTATGGGCTCTACGTCTGCGCACTGATGGGTCCATGGCTGGGGTCTTACATCGGTCTCATGCATTCTTTTGACATGGATTCGTTTTGCAAGGTACTACCTATGGACCTCCCGCCTCCATAATTCGTGAGCTTACTATTCCTGATATCTAGTTACTGCAAGACAAGAGGGCGACCCTTGCTAGATTGGTGCCCACAGTGGCCCTAGCCTTATCGGAATCTCCTATTGTGTCGAGATATAAATACCCAGATCTAGAGTATTTCTCCTGCGCAGGAGCTGTCTTGAAGGTAAATCTGCCAACAAATCCCCTTTTGGACGCAACAGGAGAGGTAATGTCCGTTGATAGCCCAATGTAGCCACGAAGTTGAGGAAGCAGTTTCCCAGGGTTGCCTTGTGTCAAAGTAAGTGGCAAAAAGCACCTGACTCACTTTGGGTTAAGTCGAATCCTTTCTGACTTGAGGTTTTTCCTTTCAGCATATGGTTGTACCGAAACCTCTTCATGCATTTCACAGAGCGGTGTCCGCGACGAAGGGGCTCCACTTGTAGCAACGGGCACACTGCTTTCCAATATCGGCATCCGGTTTCTAGACGATGACCTTCGAGATGTGCCTGTCGGGACGCCTGGAGAAGTTTGTGTCTCATGCCCAACCATAATGATGTAGGTCATGCCAAACAAAGGGGTGCCGACATGGTGGCAATGCTGACATCCAATGATCTCCACAATAGGGGCTATAAGGACAACGAGGAAGCTACTCGTGAGAGCATGCTGAAACCAGGCTGGTATCGGACCGGTGATGTCGGGTTCCTTGACAGCAATGGATATCTCATCATCATTGATCGAATCAAAGATGTGATCAAATACAAAGGGTATGTGGACCACCGTGAGCGCAGGGGGGTGCGCGATCTGCAACAAAACCAAAGGCCCGCTAACGATCTGTTCTACTGTACAGATTCCAGGTATCACCAACGGAACTGGAAGAAATCATTGGACAGCATCCTCAAGTACAAGATGTCGGCGTGACAGCGACCTGGGATGATACACAGGCCACCGAGCTCCCACGTGCTTTTGTCGTCCCTAAGCCCGACATTGATCAGTCTCAGCTACCTCGCATAGCAACAGAGATCCAGGATCTCGTAGCTGCCAAAGCTTCTGGATACAAGAAACTGCGGGGTGGGGTGAAGTTTGTTGATGGCCTGCCGAGGAATCCAACAGGAAAACTACTCAGGAGAATATTGAAGAAACAAGAGGCCGAGGATGGAAGATTGTTAGCAAAGCTATAGGCAGCAATTCAAGACTGTTGGATCCGAATTTGTGCATACTGCTTTCAAGTGACCTGGCGGCGCAGTGGCCTATAAGTAGGTATTGCCATCTCAAACAAAAGAAAGAGAAGACAAACCTAACTGACAGGTCAAGTAGTCTTTTCACATATAGTAAGTACTATTGCAAATCTTAGTGATGATTATCGGCTATGTGCAGAAGGCTGGTTAACCACATCTGTGAAACTATATAGCATCGACAACCTCGGTACCCAAGCCATCAGTGGATCATTCACTTGTTCGTCTACCGAGCCATATATACACCTTCCACTGATCTCGAGCTTTTTAGTATTTGGTTCAGCAACATGACACCAAGCACAAGGAAATTGTGTGGGCCGAGGTCGCTTAACCCGAGTACCTGAAATGCTTGTTCTGGATATCTGTCTCGTCTCTGAGACCGGACATTTCATCCATGTTCGCCGCGCCAGTAGTATACGCCGGGTTTGTCAATGCCAGTTTATCACGACGGTTGTTCTCCAACCTCATCACAGTCCAAGTCGAGAACGACAACGCAATGTAGACGGACAAGAAGCTGTCATAGAAGAAGAGTTAGGGCAAGGTTCTCAAAAGAGCGACTGGGAGGAAGACAAAGTCTTGACTTCCTCCACAGCTATGTGAACTTACGTCAAAACAAAGGTGAGACCGGTCGGGTATCGAGGACTCTCGGAGCCCAAGAATGTCTGAGGAGTGATGATGTTGATTACGCAGTAGAGGAAAAATGCCGTCGAAGTAGAGAGTTGTTTTCTGGTGAACCCGGCCATGTTTGTCCCAATGATAGCCATGACGACGGTGTAGTTGGCTCCAGAAAAGGAGATGATGATGATCGAGGCCAAGCGGCGGTTTTGGAATTCGGGTTCGGCAGGTGTTACATAGAGTAGGACTGCTCCGACGAGAGCGACTATACTCGCAGTTGCAACCAGCGGTTGTTTGAGGTTACGCCAACTGGTGAATAGCGTCGGAGGTGCTGAAACCAGCATTTGTACCACGGCCTGGAATTATGATTAGGTGACGAGTTCAATGTTCTGGTACGTGGTGATTTACCTGGGTCGCATAGTTCGGTGCCGTGAAAAGCTGAGCCTTCAACGCTGAATAGCCGAAGCCCTGGGACAGGTCAGTTCGAATATTCTGCTGCGGACTGTATACCAAGAATCCCATACCCTAATAATGATGCCCAAGAAGTTGGTTGTAACATTGCCGGCGGCCTGAGAAAAGAACATCTGTAAGACCATCATCCAGAATCGGTAGTCCAGCAAACTCTCTTTTACTTGGGCCCATTTGAAGTGAGCTAGGTATGGATGTCAGTCTAGAGAACTCTCAGGTGTATCGAGTGCACAATGGACGTACTGTTTTTGACGCCCAACTGGTCTTCTGAGACACGCTTGATGGCAATGGCCTTTTCTCGGTCAGTCAACCATTTAGCACTGACTGGGGAGTCTGGCATCCAGAGATACTGAAGCTTCTCGTTAGCGAATGCGGCTGCTTTTCGGCATCAAATAGGCCATACAAGTACAACTCCGGTTACACAACTTAGAAGGCCGAGAAGCAGAAAGATCAATCGCCATGGAACCTGAGTGAAAAGTGATTAGACCTCTAGAGCAATGTTCGGATGCACACTTAGACTCACCAGAGGGCCAGAGTTGACATGTCCCAGGCCTGTAAGAAGTCAGTCTGGGCCGCACCTAAGAGATTGAGTGTACATACCCCAATAAATGATCAAGAAGGGGACTGGCATGATCCCGTTTGTAACCGTCCAAAGACCGAATCGAAGTGATTGTTCTTGTTGCTTGTACCACATTGTTGTGCTGTAGATGAATTAGACAAATGTCCACCGCAATTCTGGGAAGGAAATGCTCACATCAAGAGCAGGCCGGGAACGAGGGAAGATTCAAAAATTCTGAAACGTCCTGGTTAGATACCATGAGAAAGAAGGATCTCAATTTGAACATACCCAAGAATGAATCGGAGGCCAAGAAGAGTACCGAAGTTTTGAGCGCCGACACAGCCTAGCAGACTACAGCCCCAAATGAAGTAGCTGATTCCAATGACTTTGCCAGCGTGGAAGTACTGAAGGCAGCGACCAGCAAAAAAGGCCCCAGCCAAGTAGCCAAAGTAGAACATCTGGATCAATAATGATCAGCGGCAGATCAAAAGGCGTGTACGAGATCTGGATGGACATACCGAGACACACCAGGAGTATTCTTGGCCTTGGAGGCCCAGATCCTCCCGAAGACCATATGTTGCTGCTGCTCCAAGCCCCGACTAGAGGTGAAAGCAGGTCAGCTCAAGTCAATCGTAGCACTGCGTCAGAGGGAGGCAAACCTTGTCTACGAATTGAAGACCACAGGCCCAAGCTGCGAGAGGGATTACATGCCAGTCGATCTTGCGAAGTACCTTTTTCTTCTCTTTGAAACTATCAGCGGGTCCCCATCAGAAAGCACCATTACTGAGAATCTTACCATCATCAGTGAAATCAGTGCCAAATTGTTGGACGATCTGTGCTCCAACGTCCAAGTCGCCCTCAGCTTGAATCACTTCTGGCTTTTGAGGGTCAAACTCGTTCATGGTCTCGAGCTGCTGCTGTTGATTTGCCTTCTCGACGGAGGAGTCCATGATGACTGCAGTGTTCCTTTGCAAGTATTGATGGTTGGACAAAGTATGGTGTAGTTTGTCGGGCAATAGGAAGTCGGGTATATAGATGATTCTTATACCTCAGCCCGTGCCAACTCCTCAATTCAACGCTTTGGACCCACTGGTTCAGTATCCGATAGTGAAAGATACAAATCTTGCGAATGAGCAAGGAATGCTTACGCTGGTCCGGGTAGTAAATTTAAGTCGCGGAGGACTGCCCCCCGTGGGGAGAATCTTGGCCCCCCGGGGCGGCGGACAAATTAGGCCGATGGGGGCCGAGGGGCCTGGAGTAAATGGGTTCATTGATTGGAACACGAGGGGAGTAATTCTCATGACTCGGAAGACGTGACCTGAACTATGGTGCGGCGAGTCAGTGTACATTCATCACATGGTAAATATATAGGTACTCTAAGGCTCATCAGAGGGTTCTTGTTCAGCTTCGTCAATGTTCGCGGCTTGTATCCCAAGCAGCGTTCGGACCAAGTTATGGACCTGTCCATCATCCCGTACATTGTGTGCACCCTTCTCGTCTACTTCAGCTGTCCCTCGTCGGGCGGGTCGAGTCCGTAACTCGCGATCCACTCGTGGTAGATGCTCGGGACCACGAGCTTCTTGTAGAGAACGTCCACGATCATGCACCCGAGCCTGCTCACCAGCTGCATTCCGACGAACCAGTAATCCGGACTTGTTAGGTAGGACTTGACGCCGGCATAGACGCACGTGCAGAGTATGTCGAGCACGTGGATGGCGTCGGAACCCGTTATCTCGCCCCAGAATCCGATGAGGGCACCGAAGAAGTGAAACATCAGGATGCCAAAGCTGCCGAAGGCGGTGAACCACGACCAGGGCTGCTAGACTTACTGTGCCGTAGCATCAGTGGCCATAAGGGGAGTGGAACGAGCGAAGTCGTCGATGGGCCATCGAACTTTGCGCCTGCGCCAATCTTCGTGACAGGAACACGGACCGGGCAATCGTTATGACCCCCTCGCCGTCGTACTCGAGCGTCGTTTCGAGAAACGGTACCCTATACAAATTGATGGAGACACCGCTTGGGCGCGGAAAGTGGTCCATTTTAACCAGACTTCGGCTCTACCCGTTTCTCCTCTGGCATTTTCCGAAAGAGCGAGGCGGGCTCCTCCATTGAAAATTTATCATGATGATGGAGGACGCGCGGGCTACTTACCGTAACTGGATTGATGTTACGGCCCAGGAAAGGAGCGCCGCCTGGGGGCACCTGTAGGAAGAGGTCTTACGCGAATCCATGTGGTGGAGGGATTGCAAGAATGATTGGATATGAAGGGAGGCTATCAAAAGTTCTTGAGGGAATGACTATTTGCACAAGCCCCCGTGACCGCCGGACCGCTCAGCCAAGAGCCTAGGCACCTAAGTCAAAGCTGAGGTCAAAGCCACCCGACGCGACCTCGCTCACCCTCTAGTACCAAACTGCAAACGGCAATCATGGTTTTCGTTCTGAAGTAAAAGAGTTACTTTCACCTGTAAATTGTGATACTCTGGCACTTGGGTCTGCTGGACTTCACGAGTCAGCCTTGAAGCTCTCTGGGTTTGACCTGCTGAATCCTTCGAGCGCCCATGCTGCAAAGTCTCGCCCTGAACATCGGGTGGGGTATTTCTCGATGACTTGTCTTTCCTCCAGATATCAATTGCCAAATAGCTGAGCAAGCCATTTGAGCCTGGTTTCCTTCGGCTCTCCGAAAAGAACATCAAGCAGTACGGTTGGAATACCGCTCGGGAGATCCTCTAAACTCGGCTGGGGCCGTTAGTCTACGTAATATTGAAAACTGCGATTTCAACATCAAGCGAGGTCCTGCTCGCTCGCCGACGCCATTGGATAAGGCCAATATCTTATTCGTGCCCAATATGAAGAGGTGCAGACGAAACCAGGTCCTCATCCCTGCCCATTGGCGTGGCCTCTCGCGGATCATCATTGAGACAAGAGCCTTGATGTCAGCTTGGTGGTAGCCAATCCTTTTGTGCACTAATGCAAGGCAAACAACATCTGCAACCAGATTTTGGACTCCCAATCAAATGCATGCTCTAAGCTTTCGACTGTGCTCCTCAGGTCTTTCATCCTTTTCTTCCCCACCCTCCTGATCTCTGTGATGCAGGCTTTTGCCAAAATCTTAATCTCAACGCCCAAAAGAGGTAGGTCGCAGTGCTATCGAAAGGTCGTCCTATCTATAAAAACACTCAGAAAGAACTCTCCAACAACTCTCGAACAATCAACCACCATACGACAAGGCATGCAGAATGGCTACTCAAATACGGAGCAACCATCCTGCCGATGCATGGGAACCTCTCAAGGACCATATTTGGTCCATGTATCTTGTTGAAAATTACACTATCGAAGAAATCATCGTCAAGTTGAGGATGGAACATGACTTTAACGTCACGTAAGCCTCTGTTTTGTGTCTCCTCTCAGTGTCATCTCCCAGTGTCATGCAGGACCATAGCTGATGCACCCAAAGCAAATCACAATTAGAAACTCGATTCAAAAAGTGGAACTTCCGCAAAGGTCTGGCCCAGCATGAATGGTTGCTTGTCGATTCTAAAATCAAAGAGCGGAAAAGAGAGTCTGGCAAAGAGAGCGAAGTTTACCTTAGCGGCGTTCCCCTAGATTCCCAAAAAGTGAAGAAGGCGGTTTCGCGATATGGAAGCAACTCGACCTCAGTGTTACAGGGTATTTGTGCTATCCCACATTATTGAATGCCCAGACATCTCATGCTAGCACTAGGTGGCCTTCCACCTACGCCAGAAGGTGTGGATATCAGAACGCCTCTCCCTCTGGCGACAATCCCTTCGCGTTCCCGCCCGACCACTCTCACCTCAACCCCGTTCCACTCCACCAGGCCCCTCTACTATTCTCTTCCTCTCACGAATTTCTTCTCCTCCTTCACTTACGGAGGTAGGTCAAGAGTTTCTTTGGTTGGAAGGATCAAACTTCCATTCCCACAAGGTATGCTAACTCGCTAGAATAGTTAATCCCCCTTTTCACGGTATTCGGCCACATGTGCCAGATTTGTTCACACAGCTGGAGAGCATGCCAGAAATCACCAACGATAACGATAGCGAACTATGTTTAACGGCCATGCACAACCTCGTCACGTCAACATTTCAATCTATAGAAAGCTCGATTCCACAGAGTTTGATTTCTTTCGACAAACCGGGAACGGAGCTGAAACCATCCTTCTCATCAAATCCGTCCGCGATCTTAAAGACTTTTGTTTTCATGCTGTCCAACAAGGCTAGCCGGGTTCCAAAACAGACGCACTTCTTCGCTGAGGACGAGCCGAAGAAGGAAAGACTTTCTCACGAAACGATCAATGGATGCTCCAAATCTGGACTTCTCGACGAGGTCTTGAAGATCACGGGACCAACCGCTGAGGCTCTCCTGGAAGAGTTTTTTTCCGCTGCCATTGAAGTGGAAGACGTTAGCGATATCAACAAAATACTCGATACTGGGTTTCATCCTGATGAGTTACGGTGCAGGCTGTCCGGCGGCAGAACGGTTACACCACTCCAGCGAGCCTGCGAATTGGGCAGCGTTGCTGTTGCAGAGACATTGTTGGAGCGCGGAGCAGACGCTAATAAATTCCTGAAGTGTACCCTCCCGCCATTGATTACAGCAATTTCGAGCCGTCATTCTCCTTTACCTGAAAGTCACAGAATTGGCCTTGTGAAGATCTTGTTGAAAGCAGGCGCATGCATAGAGAACCACGATCTCTTCTCTGCAGCCAGCCGGGGTCTGGTAGAGATTACATCTATCCTCCTCCAGGCAGGCGCAATTCAACAGAGCCCATTAGGAAAACCAATCCTTAGGCACCTATTGGACAGCTTCACTTTCACTAATCGCACTATCATGGTTATACGTGCTTTGATTGACGCCGGTGCCAACACATCTGCTATTACCGGCGTCATATCAAAAGCAATGGTGCAGTATGGATTAGATGGTGAAGTCATCACGCTGATTAAGGACTTGTTGGACAGAGGAGCGCGCGCGACAGAGAACGATTTGCATTTGGCAGTGGAGGCAGACAGTTGTGCCGCCGTCACACTTCTTGTTCAGTACGGTATTCCAATCACGCCTGAAATCATAGGACACGCCGTCCGTCACTATAGTTCAAACATCATGAAGATCCTCCTTCAGTCAAAGAGTTCTGTCCCGCATGCGGCAATCGCAACAGCAGTTGAGCGTTGCACGAAAGAAGAGGTATGCCTTATGCTAAGATTGAACGTTTTTGACCCCAAACGACAGTGCATGACACTTACAGCCGCCATACAGTATGGCAAGAAAGATATCATGGACATGCTGTTCGCATTTGGTGTACAACTTGAGCGTGGGAAGGAGCTCTGTGCGGCCATTGAAGACGTTGTTCGTCGAGGTGACCTCGCATTGCTTCAATTTCTCCTCAGTGACAACTCGCCTTACCGGTCACCTGTCGTACGTTCACTGGGCGGCTCTTTGTGTTTGGCCATCCGCGGCGGCCAACCGGAGATGATCAAATTGCTGCTCGAACATACGTCAAATCTAGACCAACCCCTTTTCCGAAGGAATGGCTCCTTTTCTACATTGAGCCTTGACAGCGTACCACTCATGGAAGCGATTATCAAGCAAGACACTACCATGTTACAGATGCTTCTTGCTGCTGGTGCAGCGGTCGAGTTCTCACAATATGAAACTCTTCACTCGGTGCTACCAGGTGCAATTTCAGTGGGAGATATTACTTGCATTCGGCAGTTGATCGCTGCTGGGGCGAATCCCAACGTGAGAGGAATGAGCGACGAGAAGACGGCGCTTATTGTGGCTATAGAAAAGGGTGACTTTGATGTGATCAAGTTACTTATGGAAAGCGGGGCAGACGTCAATGCTCTTCCTACACACTTTCTGGCACTTGCTGCAGCTATTGAACATTGTGATATCAGAGTCGTTCGCTACCTTCTGGACATGGGTGCTGACCCGAACGAGCCGGCTCTGCTCGCTGCGACTAAGTCCGATATCAGGACGATGCACATGGTGATGGAAAGCAGGTTAGCTCGGTATAAAGGCCTCAGTCTCGGCTTTGGGTGCAACGCCTTACAATATGCCATCGCCGAGGCTGACACCGAGAAGATCAAGGTTTTGCTTGAATATGGTGTGAATCCCAACACCTTTAACAATTGTTCACACTTTTCAAACGATGAAGGACTGGTTGACTGTGGCTGTTATGACCTTGAGGAGTGTGAGTCTTGTTTTGGGATGGCTATTCGCCCTGGTGGGGATTCAAGGCATGGCGTGGTGAGGATGCTGTTGCGAGCTGGTGCAGATCCCAACGGCATGGTCCGGCGAGCGAACAGTACCTGGATAGATTCCAGGACCAGTGCTCTAGGGTCAGCAATGCTTAGCAAGGATACGACAATGGTTGAGATTCTATTGAAAGCTGGCGCGTCTACTAGTGGAAAGTTTGACGTGGAAGGGATGTATACAGCATTGCAATTTGCGGTCCAGTGCGGGCTTGTTGAGATGGTCAATCTTTTGCTAGAACACCAAGCCGAGGTGAACGCACCAGCATATTGGGACCATGGAGCAACGGCTCTACAATTTGCCGCGATAGGCGGGTATCTGGGGCTTGCTTCAACTTTGTTGGAAAAAGGAGCAGACGTTGATGCGGCAGGGGCCGAGGTCGAAGGAAGAACGGCGCTGGAGGGAGCGGCAGAACATGGGCGAATCGACATGGTGCAGCTACTCATCAACGCAGGAGCCCAAGTGACTGGAAGTGGCAGCAAGCAGTATGAGAGAGCGGTGAAGTTCGCTGCGGCAAATGGTCATCGAGCAGTACGCCGGATGCTTGAGAAAATTCACAGTGAAAAGGTTACGTTGGAAGAGTCGATGGAAGCTATTGGCAGTTTTGATGGAAATGAATGGGGCGGAGTTTGGGAAATGTAGACTGAACTAGAGTGATGCGATAGGAGACTTGATAGAAGTAAATTAAGGCGGATTTTGGAGGCATGGCCTATACGAACTACCAACTTACTATAACTACTTACGAGGGATGGATAGGGGTGGCGAAGATTCATGAGCAGGCACGGTAGGGTACCGACTAAGGTCGAAGAGATGGTAAGGCTTTTGCGGGGAGGGGAGTCTGCCTGGAGTACTCTCGGGGAATTAAGAATTTGGACGAGACCAGAATCTGGTGAGGGGCATAAGGATGAAATGATTCGTGGAAGAGCCAAGAACCTGGAAAGCGTTTGGCAAGGGAGGTAGACATTATCCAGAATCTGGGAGGGCGTAATCTGTGATGAAATGGTAGATGGCTCGTGGGCTACTCCTTAGGTGGGCTTCACCTTGGGCTCCCCTCCTTAGATGGCTCGTGGTGGCGGTGGGTCAAAATCGCGCGTACTAAGTACTAGGACTCCATTACCAGATTACCCCCCTACCTCCCACAAGGTATGCATTTCTGGCAGGATCCGTCAATCAACAGAGACCCTAAACATGCCATCTGTGAGGCCTCCATCAAATCTCAGAACGACACAGCCTGACAGCCTCTGGCTATGGCACCTTGACCTGATTCAAAAAGTTAATAAATCATACATGCCGCTCTCAATGATGTTTCCCATTCCAATTCCTCCACATCCTACAAACAATATCTGAGCGATTGAGCATGAACTGCTCTTGTCCCGTTCACTTCAATGTCCCACATGTCGATCGAAGCCATAGTGGCTATTATAGGTGTTGTCGTGACACTCCCACCTACCTGTATGATCCTATGGAGCCTGGTACTTCGGCAGTACAGAGACGGTGCCAGAACGAGAGCCAGTGCCAGTGCCATTGGTGGTGCCGGTGGTGCCGATGGTGGCGGTAGTGGCGGTGCAGGTACAACAGATATTGAGATGCCGGTACGAGTATTCGAGTATTCGTACAAGTATTCAAAATTCAATTCTTGGCAACTGACGTGAGGCTTGGAAGGAGTCACATGGGCACAGAAGGTTCTTGCCAAATCCTCATCCTCATCATCGTCATCGCAGCAATTACATCCACCTTTACGAAAGAACCACACATTCGCGCCTCAGCCATCAAATCCACTCCACCAACAGTCAATATCACGTCAATGCTCTTGTCGAGTCGCAACACACTGTCGTCGTTCAATATCCCATGTCATGACCTGAACTCTTCCCATCTTTTTGGGTTTATGAGTAGGCGTACCTGAAAATACAGACTGACTTTGGCACTAACCAACGTGGCCGCCATGCCACTACTATAGCACTCCCGACGATGGAAACTCTCCGCAAGTGCTGTGGAGAATCCCTGCCAGACCTTAATTCAACCAAATGTGCAACATCATCCCCTACCTCTAACCTTTCCAAACATCATCGGGGAGGACAATGTGCCGAGTACGGCAGTCGGCTACATGCATATATAGCTAGCTACCCATCCTCGCCTACACAAACACCACACATCTCATTTCCAATACACTGACCCGGGGAATCCGCATTCCGTCTCCCATCTTCACCATGTCTGATCACACAAGACCTGTCAGGCACCGTGCCCTCTCTCCTCCCTCCCTCTCCTCTCTGGCAGCCAGTATTTCCTCTGGTCTGTCCACCAACTTTGCTCACTGGTCATGTGACGTCGAGACACCACCAGACCTCACCTTGCCCCCTTACCACCTTGCCGCTCCAGGTTTATCTGGCTCTACCCGTGTTGCCGATGTTGGGGGGCCACCCTACCTCGAATCCAAGCTTGACCTCACTAGAAAGTACGACCTCGCTGCCATTGCTCAAGATGTCAATCTCCCCGCGTCAGGCGGTTTCTTGCTGGGAGCAGGAGCCGGCCCTTTCTTCCATCTTGGCCACAATTCCGAATTGATGCCAAACTACGCTTATGGCACCGCCGCCGACCCCTGCTCTTCGACCTCTTCTCCCGCCATCCGAAATCGCACACACTATGCCAAAATCACCCCCTCCAACGATCCTGTTTGTTGCCCATTGCCCAGCAGCACCGGCTTTGGCTTGATGTGCAACCTATACTGTTCTCAGGGTCTTCCTGGACCTGCTCTACACATCAAGGCCAAGGCACGGACAGGGCCACTCAATTTTACTCAATCGATCCAAGACGGGCTCAAAGCCACCTTTGGGGAGAATTTAATTTCCCTTGGTGGTGTCTTCATCCTCAAATCCGCCAAGGCCAAGATGCACGTCATGCCCGACTTCCCGAAGAATCCCTTCCAGTCTCGCAAGGAGTTGGTAGAATGGCTGAGATTTTTTGACATGGAGTTTGGTGGCTCCAATGATCCCACTGGACCTCTGATCTGCTTGAGCGTCCTCCATTCTGGTGATGATGGCGGGTTCGATTTGCGACATGAACATACCCATTGCTTCACGGTGGATAGCGGCGGAGACCTAGACCGCGAGACCTCCAAGGGCGGGCATTACCATTTTGACCTCGATGAGACGAAAGACCAAGTCGAATATGAGGGCTGGTTCAACGTTGCAGAAGATTTGTATCGTGTCGACCAGCCGGGACAGTGATGTGTCGGCAACTTTCATACTTGTAGCAAAGACTCGACATTGAGTCAAAAGCTTATTTTGCATGAAACCACCTTATCCCAATCCAATTCGCAATCGCTGCAGAGCTTGCCTTAAAACCTATGGATTTTTACATCCCTCTTGCACACCTTTTTGAAACAGGTATTCCCATTTGATCAAGAGTTCGTCGAGGCGCCGTCAGAACATGTGACGTCCTCAACGACGAATGCAGGCACCTCCCGTAAATGAACATGAATCGAGTATGTCAATATATTGCTGATCATTATGGGAAGAATTGAACAATGTTAGCTCTTCACATCTCCTTTAAGGAAGCTATCTGTTACTTCTAGAGCAGTCCACGTCTTTCATTTCCTCGGTCTACTTTGGTTCACCAGTAACTTGTGTTGAGATACCCAGAGAACTTCACATACAGGTCACTCAATGTTGATATCCATACTATGACGTAGCAGCATCTATCTGACTCCTTTACTCCCAACTTCCTACCCTGCCGCTCACGTCGCAGTAAAACCACCATCCACAGGCAGAGCCACGCCGGTGATGTGAGAAGCCATGGGGCTGGCTAAAAAGCAGATGGTGTCTGCAATCTCTTCTGTGGATGCAAGGCGTCCCTGTGGAATTCTGTCAATAGTGGGAGCCAGGGCTTTTCTCGTGGATTCAATCAACAACGGCGTGTCGACGAAACCCGGACAAACAGCGTTGACTCGGATGCCGTGTCTGGCGTAATCGATAGCGTCGGTCCTAGTCAACCCCAACACGGCGTGCTTGGATGTATTGTAGACTCCCAAATTGGGCATCGCCATCAATGCCAACGTCGACGCAGTGTTGATGATAGAGCCACGTTCCATCTTGGTGTTGGCCACCTTTCGAGCTTCCTGCTTCATCATCTGCTCCAGCTCGTACTTTTCGCAAAGCCAGACACCCTTGACATTGACGTCCATGACCTGGCTGTAATCCGCGGTTCGCGTCACATGAGTCGGACCAAACGGTCGTCCAATTCCTGCGTTGTTTGCAGCGTAATGAATTCCGCCGAACTTGGTGGCAACCTCACCCACTGCAGCCGCCACGGCGGGCTCCGAAGTCAGGTCTGCGGCGATGGGCAAAAACTCCACCTCGGGAAACTCGGCCGCCAGCGCTGCCGAGGTCGCTTTCAATCCTTCATTATTGACATCAATTCCCCCAATCTTGCTCAGCCCATGACGCGCGAAACCAAGAACAACTGCTCGCCCGATTGCCCCTCCGGCTCCTGTGACGAGGGCTACACTGCAAATTCAGACATGTTAGTTACCCAACTCGGATTCCATCCTAACGTATTCTCGCTGGAGATCGAGAGGGAATATTTGAGCAGAGGAGCGGGTGACATATAGTTCGTACCCTGAAAGCGCTAGAGACATAGTAAATGGCTGTTCAATAATACCAGAACGGATTCTCAACCAGCGTAGCGACCTTCACCATCAACTCAAGCTGTTACTGAGGGATCCAATCAAAAGTGTAATTTCGCTCCCGAACTCTAGCTGACAAGCCTTATCAGTCTCGATCAGGTGCAGGTCGTCGACGAGTCGTAATCCTAGCTTTGTAGCAGTGCTGATGCGGTTTGGGCTTCATGCTTCAGTCTGGATCTAGGCACATTATATTGGATTGGATTGAAAGCAGAATGGAGTCGTTAGCGACGGATGTCATGTAGCGGAATGATTTCGGAGCATTGTCTCCCCGTGGTATTCGCCGGTAGACAAGAAACCCAATGTTTTGCTTTTGATTGGCCTGAGCGAAACATCACATTGACTGATCGGTCTGGCCGTCTTACTTCTAAATACAGACTTGAGAATCGGACACACGCAGACTATGTTCCATGCGCATGGCAGGGAGCCCATTGGAAGAATGTGTTCACTACGTCGCAAAATCTTTCATGATCTTGATCTAAAGCTATCTCCATCTTGTTGCCTTGCGGCGCTTTGGATACAGTCATTCAAAGCAGAAGACGGTTCAATGCTGACGAATCCCACCATGACGTCAAAATCCACCACTCAGTCATCCCATGAGCGCAAGAAATCACTGGCAGCACTCATCTCCCGCTTGATCAGTTCGGCGTGCGCCTTGCTTCGAGGCTTGAAAACAACGGGGAACTCTGCTGGTGTGTGTGAAATTCCCTCATGATAGTTGTCCACGTCAATCGGCATGGGCTTGTTGGTCTTGGGATCAATCTTTCGTTGAATTTCAAAGGCCCACAGCAATCTCGCGTTCAGTCGCCATTGTGTCCTCTCAGCAAGATGAATCCCCGGGCAAATACGTCGACCAGCCCCGTACCCGTAGTGATCACGATTTTGCCAGTCGGGGCTGCCTGCATAGCTGTCTGCCATCCGCGGGTGCCCGATGAACCGATCTGGGTTATAGGTCTCAGGATCGACGTATCCTTGCGACTCGCTCAAGTGCAGTGCCCATGTTGGGAGGATGACGGTAGCATCCTTAGGGATTAGCATGCCCTTGTACCAGTCATCCTGGTTGACACGGTGAGGCACTCCAAGCGGAAGTCTGGTAAAGGTCAGCTTTTATGTTTCTGCTTAATTCATGACCGTTCTTCTTGGGGATTCAGCTTACACTGGATGAATTCTCATCGCTTCCTTTACTAAGCAATTGATGTAAGGGATTTCGTCAAAGTCAGCCAGCGTTGGCAATCTGCACACGATCTATGAGAAGGGACTTCATCGAGAATAAGGGTGATAGAGAAGACTTACCTGTGAGTGCCACACACAGCATCCAACTGCTCACGGGCTTTGACTTGGAACTCGGGATGAAGGGCCAAATACATCATGGAAGTCAAGGTGGCTGAAGCTGTCGTGTCTGCACCGCCCTCGACAATGACACCCAAAAAGTGATTCATCTGTTTATCGGTAACTTGCAAGTCACTGTGCTTCTCACCGTCCAGGATCGAGTCAATGACCGAGTCCCGCTTGATTCCTTTGGAGCGGCGAATCTCCACCCTGCGACGTGCCTCATTCCATGTGTCGTCCATGCATCGGTACGAGCCTCGAGCTCGCTTCTTCCACGGGGCCAGAAATTCTGGCAAGTACTTCAGAAAAGGAAACTCATCAACCGGAGGGTTGGCTCCTGGCTCGAGGGAGGCTGAGTAATTGTCCATGGCGTCGTACACGGCCTGCGAAAGACCGGATCAGTCAGTCTTTCGTCCCTTCATCAAAAGCATCGGGCGATTCAAGATCTTACATGAGCCCAGAAGTTGTCATATGTTCGCCCGCGATGACCAAACACTACGGCGCTCGCGACCGATGATGTGGTCCTCTTGATGTGATGGTAATAGTTCTCAGGAGTCGCCAGGATATCTGACAGCAAGCATACGGATCGATAGGGCAGTCAGCATTTTTGAATCGTGCTTGGGCAAAATTTAAACAACTCACTCAGCGTCCTGAATATGTCCGACCTTCTCTTCCAACATCTTGGGCTGTAGACGGGTCAAGTTAACTCGCACGTTCTGCTATTATAGGGACCTCGCAACCAACCGATAGATTGTGAACAGCCACCTTCCTTTCAGCTCTCCACAACGGAGTGCTGTCCATGAAGGCGAAACTGTCCCCTCCCGTGACAAGACCGGGGACAAAGCTGTGAGGTCTCTCTGAGTACATGACGCCTTTCTTGTCCAGTAGGTGGTTGATCGCTTGTCGATCAAAGAGCACAATCACGGTGCCATTGCCAAACTTGAGCGAATATACGCCCTTGTACTTTTCGCCCCATTCCCTCAGCCTTTGTCGAAAGTCAGCCAAGGATGTAGATTACAATAGGCATTGTCTGCTTCGGACGTACTTTTTACCCAAGCCCGACTTTGGTATTAGGTGCAGATTGCCCAGTATAGGCACGGTAGGTGGGCCAGGAGGCAATCTCTTGTCCCTGCTTCCAACTCGAAGAAGACGATACAAGGCCCAAATCACCAAACCACAGATGGCGATGACCGTTGGGGACGGTTTCCGATCGGCACTGAAAGTCAAAGAGTCCAGCATCTTGCTTAACTGAGAGTCTATCAATCGAACGTCCAGCAGTACTGAGTGGCGGACAGGGTTGCAAAATATAGATATGGTATGATTCTGACGCCGGATTGATCGTCCCGGCTAGTTGCATGAAAGAAACGCTGGAATCATATGCTATGGGAACAATGATCAATCTCGTCCTGAGAGTAGGTCGAACTGAATCCACTCGAGACTCGGAGAAAACCATGGGGTCAACACGGGGGGAGGGGGTGCGTTCGCACGTCAACACCTGAAAGTCTGAATGTCGCGGCCCCACTAGAGCAAACTCTGGAGCCACTTCGGAGCAACTTCGCCATCATCCAGTAGATGGCAAACCGCACCATTGAGTTTCGTAGCAACAAGCCAACTAAAACACAATGTGTTCCTCAAATGCACTGGTCTTCTTAATGTGCTCGAAAGCAATGGCTCTTCCCTTGACCGGAGTCAGTAGCTGACCGACAAAGGGGTGCACAACGTCTATCATTATCCCTACCCGGCAGTTAGTTAGTGGACTTGGTTAACATGCCCGACTTCTTCGTTCTCGCCCGAGTAGTGGGCTCAGATGGTGCTTTTCCAAAGGTCAGTCCTCGGTAGCGTTTGCTAGACTCTATTCATTCTGAGGATCGAACTGATCGAAGAGAAACAAACTCTAGTGGAAGGAGAGGCTAGTGCCACTTTGCGAGGTGTCGGCCACGGAACCGTACTCGACATCCTACTATTGGGGTCAGGATGTCGATGGCGAGCCAGACACGTTATGGGGGTTAGAGGGCTATCGTCACCCGATTGGGTTCTTTATTGGCCACCCAGCATCCGACGTTTTCAAGCGCGAAATGAAAAAGGTCGATGAGGACAAGCTCCTCCGCCATGTTCAAGGACTAGGTAGCCCAGACTATGACTTGCACTACTACGACATGTATGCTGGCTTCTTGACCCGGCCAGATGACCCAGATAAAGACACTCGAGACAGCTTTG